TCTGATTGCAGTCAGGTCTACACACATGGCTTCTGTGCCTGCAAATCTACAGTGCCTGCTAATCTCCATCCACCTCGCACTGCTGCAGGCATTGCTCTCCCCATTCATTCATTCCATGTAATCAGTCTTCCTTTTTCATGCACACCATCTTTCCCAAAAACTGAAAAAAAAAAATAGAGCACCCCCACAGGCAGGACCCTCCTAATCGTCTTGTATTGAATTGTATTATAGCTGTATTGTCTCCCTTTATATTGTTAAACGATGCAATATAGCACAATTTAAATCGTGTATAATAATGACAATAATCATCTCTGTGATCTGATATCACACGATGAATCTTGACCCAGTATTTTTCATCCTTTATTTTTGCCATCACGGAGCAGATGTTTTTCTGCTCGTCACCTCTTCGAAAAAACATCTATTTAAAAACACATCTCTCTAGCATGCAGTATTTATGCAGTCACAAATATTTTGCTTCTGGGTCATACTCACCAAGACATTTCATATATTCATCAAAATTCTTGCTGTCTACCAGCTTCCAGGTCCCCAGGAATTTTTCAACCATGGTGAAAGAGAATGAATGCAACTGCAGAGATTAGCAGACTAGCAGGGCAATGCTTTGAGTGTCAGTATATATAGCCTGGCTCTTTCTGTGATCACATGGTGCTGGAGTGTCTGCACAGTGTGCACAGCCCCTCCCAGTCTCCCTGCACCAGCCAAAGGATTGCTACTTGCACACTCTTTCTGCTCTGCAAGACTACTGTGAACCTAGCTTTGAGGAGGAAAAATCTTTCATATTATCATTGTTCTCTAGCGAATCACTATTTTCTTTTTTTAAATCCAGCATGTTGTAAGTGAGACCCAACCTAAGGATGAGCTATAGCCATGGTGTCCATTCTGTGTCCCAGAGGATGAATGTGGCCCTTTGTCACTTATTGCACACAGTAGTCTGTTTTCCTTACCTAGGTGCTTGCACAAGCCAGGAAAGGAACGTCTGTCGTCAGCAGGACAGGGATCAAGGAAAAAATCTGTCTAACAGCCTGTAAAAAACCTGATGAGATCTAATCTTTCCCCATTCTAATCAGAACTAAAAAAAAAAGATTTGAGTTTGATATAAATCGAAATTTAGTCCAGTGAAACTGTTGTCACAGTATATGGATATGTAGCCGAGAGCAGAGGCGTTACTAGAAACTTCAGGGCCCCCGGGGCAAGAAACCAAGAAGGGTGCGCCTCCCGAAAAAAAGGCACCGCATGGTTAACAGGAAGGCTGCTGAAGTCTCCCGCAAGCGCAGGTCCTCAGGCAGCCGCTTGTTTAAAATTTTAGTGCCGGTGTTCTGTCAAACGCTGACCCAGTATCTGCGCTTACGTACAGACGGGATTAATGAGGAAACCGGCATTTATGTACAAAGTATTCGTTTGTAATTTTTTCATTGTGACCGTTAATAATATGCCGTCAATGGCAGTAAACGATGGATGGCAGTAAATGATGGATGGAATATTATTAACAGTCTCAATTAACGTTTTAAACAAAATACTTTGTGAATAAATCCCGGTTTCCTCGGAAATATTGGTCTGTGCGCAAGCGTAGATGCTGAGGTCGGCAAATTCGACTACGTCGGCGTTTTCGACAGAACACCGGTATCTGCGTTTACTATCGGGGCATTTTCGTGAAAATGCCAAGTATTTGCAGTGGTGTATGCCTACTTTAAAATATAATGCATTGCTGGGACTTGTAGTCCTACATAGTTAGAGCTATTCTGCATTGATGTATAACGATTATGCAGCAATGCAGAATACCACCAGCTATGCGGGACTACAAGTCCCAGCAATAGATTATAATAAAAGTCAGCTATGCAGAATACCACCTGCATCCCCCCCACTATAATGCATTGCTGGGACTTGTAGTCCTACATAGTTGGAGCTATTCTGCATTGCTTCATTGAGCTATTCTGCATTGTATAATCATCATACAGCAATGTAGAATACCACCAGCTATGCGAGACTACAAGTCCCAGCAATACATTATAATAGCAGTCAGCACTACAGAATCCCACTACACCAGCATCCCCACACACACACACTTTCCCGCCCCCACACACTTTCCCACTCCAGACTTACCTTCCGTCTCCTGCAGGGCCCTATTCCGCCTCTCCGCGGCCAGGGGGCGTGGCTAAGAGGAGAGGGTCCACACAGCAGAATGTGCTGCCCGGCGGTACCTGCAGCACATTCTGCGGGACTGGTGACAGCCTCTCCATCCCCGCCGCACAGCCACCCGTACATGCTGCGGGTGGCTGTGCGGCAGGGAAGGAGCGGCACGATCGCTGGGGGGCCCTCTACTTCCTTGCTGGGCCCCCCCAAGTGGCGGAACGCCACGGCCCGGTCGCAATTGCGACAGCTGCGACCCTGGTAGTTCCGTCAGTGGCCGACAGTGTCCTTAACAAGAATGATGCTGTCAGTGGGCGAAGCCTGATGAGTAACTCATCAGGCCCACTCTGCTACTGAATGCCAGGAAGCAGTGGGCTTATTTCATAGCCAACAGCAAGCTGGGTATTGGCTATGAAATCTGCCCACTCCCTACTGTTAATCAGTAGCTGAGTGGACCTGATGGGAAACTAGTACCTCAGCATTCCCATTCCTAGGTGCTTACACAAGCAAAGAAAGGAAATGTAGGGGCCAGAGAAACTATTGTTGATGTGCCAAATATTTGGAGAATGGAAACATGCTTTTTGGGATACGCCAAATAATAGTTCAAGGCTTTGAAATGAAAGATGCTAATAGTGCACCAATTGTAGTAAAAAAATACCAAGTGTGACTTTTCACACAAAAAGTCTCACAATCTGTGCCAAAACAAAAACTGGCTCAGGAAATGAGTTTGGTAATATTGAGCACTAGGGATGTCCCAATACCATTTTTTCAAGACCAAGTACAAGTACTTTCCCTCAGGTACTTGCCAATTACCAATACTTTTTCTTAAAGGGACATGTGACTTTTTTCTAAAACAATACAGACTAATAATTTTAGGGCAATTTCTTTATAATTATGAAGTAATGAACTGTAACTCAATCCATGATTATTCAGCAATGAGGAATGGCAACCGGCTATGGAGGATTAAAAATCTCTGCAATCCATGATTATTCAGCAAAGGAGAATGGCAACCAGCAATCATGGATTGCTGAGACTTGTAGTCTTCTATAGCCGGTTGCCATTCTCTATTGCTGTATAATCATTAATGGAGAATGGCAACCAGCTATAGAAGACTACAGATCCCAACAGTCCATGATTATACAGCAATTATACAGGAGTGAGTGCAGATCGTACCAGGGCTGCTTTCAGGTCTCACCAGGGCTGCGTACAAATCTCACCAGGGATGCGTGCAGATCTCACCAGGGCTGCTTTCAGGTCTCACCAGGGCTGCGTACAAATCTCACCAGGGCTGCGTTCAGGTCTCACCAGGGCTCCGTACAAATCTCACCAGGGCTGCGTACAAATCTCACCAGGAATGCGTGCAGGTCTCGCCAGGGCTGCGTGCAGATATCGCCAGGGCTGTGTTTGGGTCTCAACTGGGCAGTGGCGACTCTAGGAACAATATATAGGGGGGGCACATAAGATACCACAGTCAAAACTGGGGGGGCACTAATAATTTTTACCACTAAATCATACCACTGAAAAAAATTAAATAAGTATATATAAATAAGATTACAAAGTACGAGAGTAATGCGGTATGCGGTGATACCTTTTTATTGTGCTAGCCTAATACTTAGAAGACAAGTTGGGGTAAAGAATTCCAGAGGATGGGAGAGACTCTATAGAAGTCCTGGAGGCAAGCATGGGAGGAGTTGACAAGGGAGCTGGAAAGCAGGAGGTCTTGGGATGAGCGGAGGGGACGGCTAGGGTGATACTTTGAGACCAGGTTTGAGATATAGCCGGGGGCGGAGTTGTGGACGGCTTTGAAACTGATTGTTAATATTTAGAATTCGTTCGTTGCAACAAAATGACATTGGTCACAGTTTGCAGCAGAAGAAAATAAAAAAGTGTGAGGTCCCCCCCCCCACGGGCAAGGGGCTTATTTGCATCGGAGTACCCCTTTAATTAAGGGGGCACCCAGATGCCGCCCCTCCTTGTGAATGAGTAAGGGGTGCTTGTACCCCTACCCATTCATT